CTATATTATTTGAGATCATGGTTGTATGAGGATGTTCGCATCTCACTCCCTTCAGTGCACACAGTCCCTGCCGCCTCGGACATGGATGATGCACATCCCCACCCCCTCCCTTTACTGACCTGTCCCTCGTACCTATAGACAGAATCGAGACTGTTTGGGGCAAAATGTATTCTGCTGACAAGAGCGGTCTTTAAGTAAATATCAATTTAGAAACTTTTTAAAAAAAAACATGGTGTGACTTTGAAACTCCAATTCATGTTATTTTCAGATCTGTCGTGGCTTTTGCAACAGTTAAAAACTTTGCTTCTTATATATATGCACACCTTACAATACGTTTTACCGCTTCGATGTGTGGGTATGGTATCACTGAGATTTGATGTTGCTTTCCCAACCTGATGTGTTCTGGTGATTGTATAGTGTATTACATTTTATCCTTTTCAATACGCAATGAAGTATCTCGTCCTGTTCATATTTCTCTGAAAAAAATACTTTAAAGCGCGTCACTAATTTTGAAACCTCCGAAAAGACTACATTGATAAAACAATATTTACACGGGCTATCCGTCCAGTTATTATGCTGATTGATTATAAATCGTAGCCGATCAAAGTTAAGATTGCAGTGACTGATTGTCTCTAATTCCTGTCAGTGGATTAATAAAAAACAGTGCAATTTGAACTAAACTTAAACAAACGCAACAAACGCACCCAAGTACAGTCAATTACCATCGGGTTTGGCGGGACAGTTCAAACAAGGGCATGGATTTAACAAACACGAGGGATGGGTACCGATCGGAAGGAAGACAATTTTACACAGAATGGCAGCTCAATATGAGACTTTCACCCAGTCCAACATCAGGCGCATTAACCACGCTCCTCCAGCTAGACCTGACTTGTTCCTTTCGGGAGGTTATCTATTACTTTGCGATGAGAAAGCTCTGGGCACCTGATTGAGAACGTGTGACATAGTCGTCGCCGTGTGAATAAAATATGCATACGTGCTGCCACGATGTACAATAATGTAAGGAAATATGTACTTACTGACAACTTCTCCTGGAGTTTCAGTATTTATAATGCATTCAATGCGCATGAAATCATTTTCTGTTTGGGTATTTTAAGATGTTTTCAGTCATGCAAAGACATACTGTTCGAATTATGAAAAACGCGTTTTTGCACACCGGAGTCCAAGCCAATCAGAAAAACCTCACAATCCTTTGGCTGGACGTGTTACACCCATAAATCTATAGACAAATGAAGGTCAATGCCATAAAAAAGATATCCATTTAGTGGCGCCTCGCTATAAACATCGGCAAGTGTGCCTGGATTACAACTATTTCATAATCAGAATCCCCCCCAAAAAAAGTGTTAATAATTTTATTTTTCAGTGAAGCCGAGGAGGTTCCTAACATATTACAACAGCTTGTAACTTAAATGTTACTTGTGTGGATTTGCAGCTAATGTCTTTGGGGGGGGGTTTCAAAGAAAAAAATAGTATCGTCAGCTCGATGCAATATATAGATTATGGACTAATAGAAAGAACATGCAGTATTTTTTCAAAAAAAAATCTCTCATCTATTATTGCAGCTACACTACAATTTTTTTCCCTTTGCAATGGATTCGTGACTGCTGATTTTGACCATGTGACTTATAAAATGCTGAAGAGGGGGCAGCGTTTCAATCAATACCACTGGATTTTTTTTCTCTCTCCTTGTCTAAGAAAGACCACCTCATCTCCTATATTATATCCTGTTATAAATTTGCATAAGGTTGTGCCTAAAAATAATCATTTGAACAGTCATGCTTAAAATGCTAACAAAAAAAGGAGTAGACTTTGTGTGCTCAATGTGGTCCTTTCAAGTGACATTGCTGATCAAATGAATCGACAGCCTTTTTAGATGAGTTAAATTAAATGATATATTTTCTGTATGTACAATGTCAAGCACATGCACTCGCTCTCCCCTGTGTGTAGGTGGGGGGAGGGGAATACTTGGCATGCGTGAAGGCAGAAATGGTATGGACAGTAAAAGGCAACCGAGCTGGTGCCGTCTTGTAAATAGAATAAAGGGAAAATAAAAGTCATAATTCCGTAGAAATGATTGCAAAGAGAGATTTCACACACCATAGCTTGAACATCACACAGTTGCTGAGAGGTAGCTGGTTATAGCCAGGACGTCAATCTCCAAAGTGTCGTACATTTATTCATCCTTAAGTCAAATCTTGTCTGATTTTTATATTAAAACAAATGGTATTTTTCATTGAAGCGTTCTGGCAAATTGAATAAATAAAGACTGCATTGGGAACAGCATAAAGAGACTAAGACGCATTTGCTGATGGGAAAGATGAAATACTGTACTGTACAATGTTGGAGACAGGGATGGACGGTGGGATTGTTCAGTTTTGAGCTCCCTCTGGAAGCAGAGAGTGAAATTGCTCCATTAATGGATTTTATTGCACTATCTCATATCTCAGGTGTTTGCAGGACTCCTCCTCTGAGTTTCTCCTCCGCAGCTGACAGAACAGAGCCGATGTGCCTTAATGGATTTACTGTAACTGAAGGAAATTAGGCAACAGAGTGTTAAAATAAAGGGAGGGAGCAGACAGGCTTTCAAAGAGCCCGCTATCGGAAGCAATAAATAAGGAATGAAAATAACCTGGGGTTGATTTCCACGTGAAAACACGCTTATTTATCGCAGTTTTATAGTAAGTGCCAAGATCCTTCATTAGTCAAATAAAGCCATTCTGGTACTGCAAAACTTTGGTGTTACTTTATTAAAGTGCCGTTTTGAAGTATTCCTACTTAAAAATAACTTTAGCTTCTTCGGAAACAATATGTTTTTTAAAAAAAATAAAATACTGGAATAATGAAAAATATCCATAGATCTGACTTGTCTTGTTTCGTTAAACTGTAGACTAGATGGGCAGTGAGGGGAGGGGGACATCATAATCGCTACAATTGAGTAAATTCATCCCTTTTGTTGCAATATTTTCGAGGCATTCTCTTCTTTCTCAAGTAAATATAATTGACAGAGATTTTCCGCCCACTCTCTAACACGCAGTATTATCTTACAATGCGCCACACCGTGTTATTACAAGTTTGTTATAGCATAAAAGGAAATTAAATTGAATGCTTCCAGCCCCCCACCCCTCCTGCAAATCTCATTACCCACAATAGTAATCTGAAGGAAATAACGTATATAATACATTGAGGGTCAAAGTAAGAGACACAGCAACTTTCGCCTCTCGCATACGTTCCACATACGTGATGTCTCTCGACTCGTGGTAATGATACATGTTTATGACAACGTGATTTTACAAAGTGCTTACTGCTAAACAAATATGATTTAAACAGGCTGGTTCTGCCCTTAGCCTGCAATTGTGTTTGCTTTTTAATTTTCGGGACATGTAAAAATAAAGAGGAACCAAAGGTGCGAAAAGTACTGTTCAGGGAATCTAATTTTAATGAACATATTTAAACCAGCCTGGGAATTTTAGCCAGAGCAGCTTCACTTGGAAAGGATTGAAATAGTTTGTTGTTAAATTACTGCAGTGATAAATTATCCTAACCTCCCTGAATTCATCTTTCTGGACTCCTGTGAGTCACGTGGAAATGAATAATTTAACAAATTTAATGTACAGCAAATTCCATACCAAGTACCGTTTATTATACATTGTGCATATATTTATATCATTTGAGTAACCAATATTTATTATTGCACAGGCATGCAAAATATTTCCGATTATTGAAGTGAACTCAACAGAACAGGTTGTCTATCTATTCTTATCTTTATTTCCTCTTTGCAGAAAAAAAACATTTCATTTATAATGTCTTAAACATTCACGAAACGTGTACTTGTAAACCCGATAGAAATGCTTGTTTTATTGTACAGCTATTGCTTTCCGGTGACACTGTTGCACTAACTAACTTTTACAGGTTGTGTTGCTCGACTTCACACTCTGCACAGAGTGAAGTGAATTCTACATCACCGCCAGCTCTGGGCTAGAATGTCCAGGCTGGATAGCACTGTATGCAAAAGTGCATGGTTCAAAGCCATTCACAGAATTGCACTCAGAGAAATGATCCTTCCTTAAATTGAATTAAATCTGCATTGTCTGTCTGTCTGTCTATCTGTCTGTCTGCTTGTCTGTGTGTCTGTGCCCATCTATCCCAATATTATTGATATACAATGTGTGATAAGAAGCTTAAAATCAGTATATGGGAAGATAAGCCATGTTTCAAAAATTGACGTTTGATAGGTACATGTAAAGGCATATGATTCAATTTCGCTTCCTGACACATTTTCATAAGTTTAAGCCTTGGCTCATAAAGATGTCTTGCGCAGCCTATCCAGTCCTGCTGAAATATCTGTCTTAGTGGAATAAGATGTAATAAAGATCTTTTGGGGGGTTAGAACCAAGTAAGCAAGTGCGCACATCCACAGCAGACAATCAATATTTTAAAAAGTAATTTTGGCTGGTGTTGGGCCTCATCAAATGCATAATTATGAACAGAAACTTGTGAGAGTCTGATGCTCTTATCTTTACGCACATTTGTTTGTAACCTAAGATGTGCTTACTGAGTAGGTGCTTGCTCATTTCTCGGATGTTCTGTTCTTAATTGTTTACTTTGCAAAACAGTCCCATATTTAACAGATCACACCAGGGTCAAGTTTTCATTTATTTGTCCATCCTAACTGAGTATAACTCCCAGTAATTTTCACAGCTCTCAATAAATGCCCTTTTTAGCCTTGGGTGCATAGTTTTTGGATCAGTATTTAACTCAATGAAATTATTAGCATTGGGCAATCAAGTAAAATGCAGCCCAACCAAATGAAATGATTCCCCAGTATATTTTGCTGTGTATTGTGAGTGAATGTCTATGGTGTCCCCCAGGGCTCTTTCTCCCTGCCTGCTCCCTGATTTCGTGTATAAAAGCAGCTCTGAATGATGGATTACTGTGTCATTGCAGCCTGCGAAGGATTAATTTGTTTCATTGATTTCTCTTTAGGCAGAATGCCAGGATTCGCTGCTTCCCACCTTTACAGGATACTTCCAGCAGTAATAGACGGTAATAGCCTAAGACAAATCAGCCCATTCTTATAAAAATAGAACCACAAAACCCAAATCCCCCAGTTGGCTGCAAAGATGCACCTTTTCCGCTGCATTCCAAGGGCATTAATAAATACGTGTTTTAAATAGCAGGTACTATTATGATTCTTTCGCACATGCAAAAAAACAATGAGATGTATAACTTGCAAACGTATGACCTTTGCAGGATTTCCCAGTTATTTTGCAGAACAAAACTTTGGAAAGTAGCATTGTTTGAAGCAAATTACTAAATGTTATTAATGTTAGTATGCGAAAAACTGTCAAGGTGGATAAAACCTTGAGTGGATTGTTAAAAACAAATGTGGGAATTAAAGTTGTCTTTTAAAAATCTGTGCAGTAAATAAAATAATACATTAAAATAAGAATCATGAGAGAAAATATCCTTGATTATTGTTGCAAATAATTACCACAAATGTAACATATCAGTGGCTATGTAGTTTCCACCTCAGAAATACTTCAACTTATAACGCAGAGAAACAGCTACAGTTATCCCTTTAATAAGTGAAAATTAAAAGCACTTTTATTGTTGTACTAAAAGAATTATAAATTAATATTTCTACAAAGTGACTACTTCTTATTTTGTCCAGCCAGTTATTGATTGAAACTGTTTTTATAAAAATATTTTAATAAGAAATTCTTACTTTGCAAACAAGTATGATTGATGAGGTGAAAGCCTCAGTTGGTATATTTTAATGAGATACTGTATATTTTATAAACAAATGGAGTTTTGTTTTCTAATGTAATATTAAAGCTGGAACAAATTTATTTTGGAACAAAGATTCAGTAATACGAACAAGAATTCACTCATGCCATTAAAATTATATTTATATGTAATTAAATTACCCCATATTATGCAAGTGTTCATATATTTAAAGTTTTTAGTCCATATTTGCTTTCACTATTCCGATTTAAAATAATTCATGCAAAATGCACTTCAGAGGAAAAATATTTTTGTTAGTTTTTTTAAGTAAATGAAAATATTTTAGTTGCATGTTAAATCACATAGATAATAGCAAAACATCCATCCATTTTGAATACATTAACCATTAGGAACACTCTAAAACAGCTATACTGCCAACAATAAACCTGAATAAACAGTCACAAATTTTCAGTTACTTTGATCCAAATGAAAAATATTCAGAACTTCCTCAGTCATAGATAAACGAAAACAGATGCAACAAAGCCACTAATAGCTTGCAAACAAATTGGACAAATTTACCAGTGGCTGAAGCACCACAGTGACTCTCACTCCATTGCTTTGTCTGCATCACATTCATTTTTAGCTTTTCAAACCACTACTATGTTTGAAGTTTGTTGCATTACTGAATTGTCAAAGATGACATGTGAACTGCAATGCTGTTATATTATAGCTATTAAAGTGAAAACAGTGATATCTATGATTTATTTCTTCTTATGAATAAGGTGTAAATTTACTACAATATGCGCTATAGAATACTGAATGTGCACAGTTTAAAAGCAACTTTATTGTCTTTTTAAACTGAAATCTCTTCAAATCCTTTTGTATACTTTCTCTCTATATACACCTTTATTTCACACAACAGACGGAAGAAGAAAAAAGCCATAAATACAAAAGGTCAGGATAGGTCTATTTTCCTATGCTGGGAAATATATTATTTTGTCAATACATTGATCATTACTGTAGGTTTAGCCATATATCAAAATTAAAGTTAATAATATCAATAAAACTGTCATATAGTAAAGCCTGCATACCACTAAAACTGTAAAATCCTTAGGATTTGAAAAAAGATACAGCGATTCAGATCAGTGTAATGAAAGAGTAATTGAAATGAGGGCTGGTCATAATTATTGACATTGCTGGAGGAGTTTGACATGCAAGGCTTTTGATTTCTTTTTCATCCTCGTAATGTTATCCAGATACAATGGGGCTGAGTAGATGTAACATTTTTTTAAAAAAGCAGCACATGTGTAATATGACTGTTCCGGTAATATTGAAAATGAATTATTTGTACCCAGGACTATTTGCTTCTTGAAACTTACATTATAATTGCACCCTTTACAGGCTCTGCTTTTTCCAAGAACAAACAATAGCGAGACTAAACCATTGCTGCCTTATAGTATTCCTTAGCATATTTTACTGAGAATTTTATAGAAAGACACAAATGCCTAAAGAGTTCCTAAGAGTTTTTCCTCATTGAAATGATATTGCACAAAAATCCAATGCCCCATGTAGGTAGGAGCTGTGATATTTATAATTTAAAGGACTGTTGGCTCATAAGATTAAAACATTTTTTGATCTTTTTCTCACAGCTTGTGTGCATTAAGTAGTTGGTGCACAACTGATCTCTGCAATTCGTGACTTTATTTAAGTGTGAGTAACTTAGACCTCACAACTTTCTTGAGTTCCTCAACTTTGTTTTATTCAAAGACCTGTGAACTTGCTATTAGTTGGCACTCATTGTTTTCCAATTTCTCATTGCATAGTTTTCTACACAATTGTAGATATCTAATTTGTGCAAGTTCAGACTGTTATTATTTAGTGAGCTCAGCAGCTGACAAAGGGTAACAAATATCTGGTTAGCCAGTTTAATGTAAGTTGAATGTGTAGAATTTAAGAAAAAAGACAATTTTTTTCCTCTTTTCAGGTTATTCTGTGTCGTCTTGCAGAGAGGGCAGGCAAACAGACCACCTGCTCCTGGGATCCTGCTAATAACCTAGCCTCCGGGAGGTACATGAGAGTGACCTGAGGTGATTTACCCTCAAGATTTCCTCTCTCTCTGTGGGAGAGCACTTGAATAAGTTGCACCACTGTGCTGTTCACTTAACCATATCTGTCTCAAATGTTTCAATTAGAAATATACCAAGAACCATTATAATTTCTTCAGTCGTTTGGAGTATAAGACACCAATGCTTTCCTATAATCAATGAAAAATTATTTAGCAGAGCTGCACCGTGCAACTTTGTGACTGTATCCAAAATACATTGTAGGAAGCAGGAGCAATGGCAACTCCTGCTGGTGGAAACAATACAAACCACAAGCTGAATTTTTTCACAGCACAGGAGCAGATGGTCAGAAATTATTATTATTTTTATTATTATTAATTCAGAAAAATATTTTTTGTTTTGTGAATAAAATATTGGTGAGGATAATTTTGCTTAATACTGGAGAAAATTGCTGTTAGCCCACAAATATACAGTCAATTCACTTTACAGTCTATTATGAGAAGCGTTTTGAGACGTCTTGAAGATGTGATACATCAAATGCAAGGATTATTATTATTATATTTTCGTTAAGAAAATAATATTTTTCTGATATCTTGTTGAGTAAAACAGTGTTTTGATGAGTTGAATATTACCTCTGATTAATGGCTAAAAAGATAGTTCTTAAAAACAAATTTTAAAAAATTGACCGACCAGTTTTTAAATCTTTGATGGCTCAGATCGGGTAATTCAGATCAGATAGGTTAAAATGCACAATCTCTCTTAAAACATGTAATTCCTCCCCTTTTCGTTGCCCTCCACTTAAGCACAATTTTTGGTTGAGAGTGCGAGTAACGTGTTCCCAGGCCTCGGCCAATAATTCTCTTGACCTGGCATTGGCTCAGGATAGCCCACATTCCAGTTTGGCCTCCCTGTTGAGGAAGCAGCTGGCTTTTACTTGCCACCTCCTGACCATTATCCAGATTGAGAACTCGATGTGTGAGCATTCATGGGAAGGAACCCTCATCCAACCACTCTGTGGACAGTGTGTTGGGGGCACTAATGTATTGCATCAATACAGTATTGTGCCAGTCTGGCATTACCTCCTTCAATCTGGTTTGTGCCAGTTCATTTTCACAACAAAATCCATTCAACAGTCCATTTTGCTTAACTTCTATCTTTTGAACAAAACAAGGGTATATTTTTATCATTTTAGTACTTTGAAGATATATTATTATCACAGCCAAGAAAAAACAGTTACTTTTTGAAAAACTAATCCTCTTTTTAATAGACACTCTTATATTTTTGATGGGACACTCTTAGAACCTTTTGAGAATTTGAGACAAAATAATGCATTCATTTACTGCTTATTTTGGTATTAAATAAAGCCCACTATAACCAGAGAAGGGAATTCAGTCCACAAGCCCTGTGGCACATACATTGCGTGCTGTAGATATGGTAATGGCCATCTATATCTGATACAGGGAGATGGCAATGTTTTAAATTTTCCGTCACACTCCCACAATGCTTTTTCGTTCTGAGGTTTGATTCTTGGGGTATTTGCATAAACCACTGCTTACAGCCATGTAACTCTATGCATTGACCCTTCGGTTATTCTGTTACTTTCAGTGAAAATGTGTGAGGAGAAACTATCATTCCCTGCAAAATTGTCCACTTTAACTTTCATCTTCTCATGCTGTTCCACCATTATTTTCAGTCAGTTTTGTTTTCCCCTGACTGTGAGATGGTAGTGGAAACCTTGATATTATGTAGCTGCACTCATTTTGTGTAAGTGGATGTGATTCTGTCAAATTGTGCAGATAAGAACAATTCATTTATCATTGCTTCAAAGTAGAATATAGTTAATGCTTAGCACTTTTATATTTTTGGTGCATTGTTTTAACTCATTGGCCTTTTCGGACTGTTTGTTTTTGCAGAAGTGGTGCCTAACTGAACATAGGAACAATGGAACAGGAGGAGGCCATTCAGCCCCTCGAGCCTGTTCCACCATTCTACTGTATCTCATTCCATTTACCAACTTTGATACCATTAACTATCAAAACTCTATCGACCTAAATCTTGAAAATTGGAATTGATTCAGCATCCACATTCGTTGGGGAAGAGAGTTCCAGATTTGGAATATTACAACAACAAATTGCATTTATATTGCAAATAAAAACAGATGTTGCTGGGAACAATCAGCAGGTCAGGCAGCATCTATGGAGAGAGGAAAGTGAGCTAATGTTTCAGGTCATTGACCTTTCGGTAGCACTGTATTGGAGTATCAGCGTTTATATCGCACCTTTCATGTCGGGAGGATGTAGGAAAGTTTGCCAGTCTTAGCTGGGCGGTCGGAATCAAGAGGGGTGGAAGGTAGGGGTGTGGTAGTGGGAGGATGATCGAAGCCACAGTCAAAGAGGAAAATCTTGAAATGTGCCTTGAAGGAGGCAAGGAAAGGACGAGATGAGAGGGATTCTGGAATGGAGTTCCAGAAGGTGAAGGGCAGAAATGCTGAATGCCCGATTATCAATGATGCGTCAGGTACGGCAGGGGACATAGAGCAGACTAATGTCTGCTGAGCGGAGAGCGGGCAGGTTGTTAAATTAAGACCATACCATGAAGAAATGAAGGCAGTCCAATTTGTCTGTACGTTTAAGAGCCGTATGATTATCACATGCTAAATCAGATAGAGAAATAAACCCATAAGAATAGTTTCAAATGCAGGAATAATAATAATAATAATCCTTGCATTTGATATAGCGCCTTATCACATCTTTGAGATAAGTATATTTATGTAATACCAAAACCCAAATTCAGCATTAGTGTACAGTTAGTAAAGTTGTGTGCTTTTCTTTTACAGGAAACATCAATTGCAGTGAATAGACCCAACCACTGATTCCAGTTGTTGAACTCTGAAACTGGCGGGCAGAATATAACTGAACTGCATTGTATGACTCCTTCTGCAATCAAATACACATTCGGTATTTAAAAATGAGGTTCAGAAGTGTGAACCAGACCAGACAGGGAGCAAAAGGAGATAGCAGAACACCAGTATAGCAGAAATAAGGTTTACCTATTCTGATCTCTATCGGAAACAAAATTATGTATTCACATTATTGGCAAAATCTTTTAAAAACATTAATAATAATCCTTACATTTGATAAAGTTCCTTTCACGTCAGGAAGACATCTTAAAGCATTTCACAGGATATACTGAAACGTGGACTGATTGTTATTTTGTGGGGAAACAAGGCAGGCCCATTTGTGCACAGTAGTATTCCACAAACAACCATGGTCATAGACCAATTTTAATTTTGGAGATTGTTGGCCAGGACACCAGTAGAAACTCCCTTCTCTTTTTGAAGAGTGCCATGGGATCTTTAAGGTCCACATGATCAGGCAGACAGGACTTCAGGTTAACATCTCAACTGACAGATGCCACCTCCAACAATGCGGCACACTCCCAACACTGCAAAGACTATATGAGTTCCTAGTCTCAAAGTGTATTTTGGACCCATAGCCTTCTGATTCAGAGGTGAGAGTACAGCCAACTAATTACTAAGCCAGTCTGGAAACTTGGGATCTTGTTTGACCCTCAACTATCCTTCTACCCCACATCTGTGCAATGACCCACTCTACCTACATTTATTCACAGTCTAATGATTACCAGAGCAATGAAGTCTTCCTTGACACTTCTTATTGCATTATAAAGGCAAACAATTAAATGTTTACTTCATAATAATTCTTGCATTTGATATAATGCCTTATTGTGCCGATGAGGCATAGGAGTTACTGTAAACTGTAGTGACTTTAATTTGTAGGTAAATACATCAGTCATTTTGCTCACAGCAATGCCCCACAAACATCCATGAATGAATGACTAATTTTATCTTGGGTTTGCTGGCCAGGACATTCAACATTGTATTTTTAATATCCACCTTAACAAGCAGATAGGACCTGGGCTTAACTTCTCGTGTGTAGTAGGGCACCTCTTCCAATGAAAGGCTACCCCAGCACTGTATTGGAGTATCAGCCTAGACTATCAGCTCAAATTTTTAACCCACAACCTTCTGACTCAAAGGTGAAATTTCTACCAGCAGAGCCAAGCTGACTCCTTGTTTATTGATACTTTATTCACTATAAGCACATGCTTTCCACTTTATCTTGGTAGAAGTTCATTTGACAGTATTGCCATCATGAATTTCCTCTGCGGATTTCGGTTGGACCGGATGAAAGATCCAGCTGGGAGGAAAAGGCATGAATTAGATCCGGGGCTCCTCAGACCTCGGGGCCCCTCAGGCCTCGGGGCCCTAACCCATTACTTCCCTGGGTTAATCCAGCCCTGGCTAGCAACATAGTGAGGATGGTGGGAGGGGTTTGGAGGAGGCTGATTTATTGATGCATAAGGAAGAATCAATCTTCCAAGAATGCCTTCTCAAAATGCATTTGGTCTAGGTATAATGACATCTATACTATCTTACTGATAAGGACTGCATTTATATCAATATTGCTTAGTGCAGCAGCATCCTTAACACCAGTGTTTTTCTGTGTCTCCAGGTTATAGAAGTACTTATTGAATGTTCTTTCCAGCTAGACACGATGGACATTGGGTAGCTGTGAGAGGGCTGTCCTCTGTGTCCTGAGATTAAGATGGATCAGATGATGAGGTATTGTAGTCTGGACTGTTTGCCTCAACAGTGGCTTGCTTTGTTTGTGGAGTGGCCACTAATTGATATTGGACCAATGCGTTGTGGGTACTGGCATCCACCCCTTGCCTTGAAGCAGATGGTTTGGATCAGGCCTCATTCTGATTTGAGGAAACAGCATGCCGATGCAATATCCGTCACACATCATGTATGTACGTCACATGCCTGCCACATGTCATGCTGCACGTGTGCTGAACTTTTGCTTAAGTCACAGAAGCTGTTTCCCTGCAACGTACATAGAGTTAGATAAAGTTACATATCTAATGGAAACAGACCATTCAGCCAAACTAGTCCACATTGGTGTTTATACTCCACACAAAGCTGTACCCCATCTATTCCCATCATTTATATCCCTCTATTCTCTTTTCCTCATGCATGCGTCAAGTTTTCTTTTAAATACTTTGATACTCTTTGCTTCAACTAGAGCTTCCAGCAATGAGTTCCACATTCTCACCACTTTGCGTGAAGTTCCTCCTAAACTCTCTATTAGATCTACAACTAGCATTGGCAAACAAATCAATAGCATTTATGGAATGGTTACACCTATACTGAGGAAGGAGCTGGTCGAGCTCAAATCCAAGTGGTGGCAGCTATTACCTATGCTCTTTTAAATGTGAAACTACCTTATAAACCTGCAAAGTAGAATTGTTAGCTAAGGAGAATGGAAAGCAATTTCTAGCACTCCATGTATATTCTGTGAAGCTCTTTGAGACGTCTCAAAGATGTGATAAGCCACTATATAAAATGCAACGATTATTATTTATTTCTATTAGTTTTACATGTTGACCCTATAAAAATATGATTATTATTGTTATCGTTGTGTGAGTTCCTGAGTTTAGATAGAACCTGTCCTTTATAAGTGTAATAGAAGATTTTCACTCGAGTTTGAAAAGTGGCTATTTGAATGCAAACTTGTAAAGTCTCCTAATTTGGGTGACTCTTTTTTGTTTTAAATATGGAACTTTTCCCCCTACAAGTTGAACACCCATGCTCATTTTTCAGTATAGATAATGATTACGATCAAGAGCAAGAGACTTCGGTGATTATTTTCTCCCTAGTCTAGGGCATTGAGGCCATTAGTAGTCCTCATGCTTTAACTCTAACTGAGATCAACTACCTCAGCCCAGACCAAAGATCAAACCTGGCTTTACATAGAGCCATGAAGAAGCTAATGCAACCTGTTTTAAAACTATTTTGGGTTATTTCTCTTTTAAAAAAATCAGCACAGGTCCATCCATACATCTAAGTAGACTTGTGAGTATTTTCACTTATAAATCTCACCCTTAATATTTCCCCTCACGTTAACAGTGCTGTGAATGGTTTGTGCATATTTTAAAGCTGTAATTTTCTTTCAGTAATCAGCCATGATAAGGGTATTGCTTGCTTTTGTTAGAAAGGGTATTCACAATCCATACTATTGATGTAGTTGCCAAGAAAGATTCCCCGTGCACCTTCCTCCAGGTGAGCGGGTGAGGTGTTATGTTTCAATATCTTAAACCATGCACTGCGCACAAGACCCAATGCTTGTTTCAATGGCTTTACATTGCCAAATTGTATTTCCCTGTCTTGGGAAAGGAGTTCTCATTCATAATTCAAAGAGCTTTTCTTGGTTTTGTTTTATTTGATTTAACAGGTGTTTCCAACCTTCTGTGGCGTAATCTTTATTTTTGTAGATGTTTTTACAGCACCATCTTTGGTGAATTTCCATTTACCAATACAATTGCTTCCAAATAACCAAGTGGCGTATCATTGTGCTCATGCCTGCCTAGGAAATATTCACTTCCCAATGTATTTCTGCGTGTTATGATATCTGAGTGACTATGAAGGTACTGTAGTTTAAAGGCACTGTACTGCTTCATGGCACAGCTGCATTCCCTTCACTTTATGCTAAACAGAAAGGATCATTACTAATCCACTTCTTGAGAGGTTTTGAGTTTTACAAAGTATCTGTGGTAATGGATTTCTGCCTCCTTTACCTTCCCCTTTGGCTTAGTGGCACAGTTCTTGGGGAATATGATGCCACGCTATACCGTAGACTGATAGCATATAGAATATGCCCACAATTCATTCCATAAATGTCTAGTTGAAGATCACTTTTTTGGAGGAAGCAAAACAATGCTTATATATTTGCATCTGAAATATGCTGAAATCTGACTTCTGATTTCTGTTTGTTTTATAACTTATTTTATTCTAATTTTCTTGTACAGAACATAAACTTTCAAAAGATAAGCACCTGAGCAATGAACAGATTATATGTGGAAATAAATGGGGAAAGATCTGTAAAAAAGGATTAATAATAAAGCATAAAGGGTGATATTATAGCTAGCAGTAGCAGACACGATGGGACACAAGCAGGGCCAAATTAAGGGATCTGGGGACTTTCAGACAGATCACCTTTGTACTATATCTGCAAAATATGAACAATCCCTTTTTAAAATACATTCTTGCATGACTTCACAGTTGCAAATATGTCAACTACATGATCAAAACTTAGCGTACGTGTCAAATCGTGCTCGCTAGACGGGATTACGAGTGCATTCAATCTATCCTGGATCATTGTAGATCTGAGTGAGTTTTTGATGAGACTCATTGTTGAGAATGAGTAATCACCTTCACAAACTGTTGCTGTTAGCAGTAAGAACATGAAGAGCAACTGTCACATTTGGAAATGTTGAGTCCACCAAGTGATTCAGTTTCATATACTTTAGCATTTCCCGTGGACTTTTCTCACACTTAAATATGTGATGTTAAATCCAGAAAGTGCACAAATTCATCAACACTGCATCAAAATCCTTTTTCAGTACCAGTAAGATAATACCTATTGCTGCTAGACATGGCTCCTGCTCTCAACGCTGTCTCTTACCTTCTATTGCGCCTCTCTTCCCATCACTCTCTGTGCTGCCTGTCACTAGGTCGTATGAAACACAAGGCTGTGTGACAGGAAGAGGGCAGAGCTGGAGGTACAACTCACACCTCCAGCTCTGCCTCTCTTCCCATCATGTTCTCTGCACTCTCTCATATATCCAGGGCCCCTCAGACCTCAGGGCCCCACAGAACTCAGGGGCCTAAGACAATAGGTTATCTGCCTTATTGGTTAATCTGGCCCTGGACACAAGGCTTCATTTTGTGCTGAGTATTTCTATTTCTGTGTTTTCATGCATTATTCCTGTGTGAGAAATGCAACCAGATGATCGGCTCCCGGGCTTCTGCCAATGTTACTCTGTGAATAGACCACCAAAAGAGACACAAGTAGAGTCCTGTGTGGTCTTCTGTCCAATTTGCTCTTGCGTGCTCTGGGGAAAGAGCAGACCTTCGCTTGCCACCTCCTGATGTCTGCTGTCTGTGCTCCGGATCTCTCTGAGCAGGCAATGAGGGTGTGGCATTAAAACTCCAGCATGCTGCATTTCTGTTCCTTGGGGAAATGTTAATAATTGTGCCTTTTAAAACTTAATTCAATGC